TTGGCATTCATGTTGTTTCCACACATAGATCATACATGTTCTTTAATTCTGCTTGGGGCATCAACTAATGAAAGTAAATGATACATAGCTGCTTCTTCATCACTGATTAAATTTTCTCTCCTTTTATCAGTAGACTGTTATCTGTTGACCCTTTTGTAGTTATTTGCACCATTAAAACCAGAGTTTTCCTCATAAAGGAAGAATTTCTTTTTTCATATTTAGGCTTATGGGGTTTGTTGTTTGTTGGTTTTTATTTTCCCATGTTTCAACTAAAACAGTTATCAGTGTAAAGCTAGTAAGTACTCAGAGGAATTCTGTAAACAAATGGATTTAAACAAATGTAGGGTCTTTACTTGTATAGACTGTGGAAAGGAGAGCAAAACTAGAACTCTAGAGCAAAAATGAGATGGCATTCCTTGTTTTCTGGATATGAGTAACAATTGTCCATGTCTTAGTCAACACAAGATATGTTTTGTTGAATTTAGCTATTCTTTCCTGTTTCCAGATTTTCTCTTACAGAAGAATTTACTGGAGGGTGGAGAGAGGCAAGTTAATAAAATTTGTATAAATACTGGAATCCTAATGGGAATTCACTTTTGTGACAGTTTTATATAGGGTTTGTATAGCTGGATGGTACATGGTCAGAAAAACCTACCAGAGAACATGTTCAGTTTCAGTATCTTCATGGCAAGAACAATTTGGGATATACCATTGTCTTTTCTAACAGTGCTTTCTGGAGTATTAATAGATTTATTATTTTTATTTTTATTAGGGAATATGGAAAGTCTTTCCCTCTGTAAATGTTTTCTGTCAATTTTTCTTTGCTTTTCAACACTGTTCTTTTACACTGGGGAAAATCTTTGACTGAGGTATAGCTTATAGTTGCACATCTATATGCTATATATATAGCATATAGTTGCCCATAAGTTCTTCTATTAGCAGTTTCAGAAAAATCTGGATAATTTCCTAGTACATGAAGGTCTCATTTTCTGAACATTATGCAACGGTTTTTCTTTTTTATACACTTTTATCATTAAAAATTATAATTTTCTAACAAAAATATCAAAGTTACATTCTGGATTATGAAATCCCTAAGGCTGGTCTGCTGGCTCAGCATTTGTTTAAAACATACTTCCCCCCCTCCCCTTTTATTTTTCTGAGTGTAGTGTCTGAAAAGTGGATGTCTTTTCAATCCAAAACTAAAGTAACAGTTGGAATGTTGAAATGTGCCATATTTCTGGAAGGCAGGTACTCAGCATTAAAGTGAAATGCATGGAAACTTATTTAAGATTAGATTTATTTCTTAGATTTCATTATTAAATGAAATGAGGAAAAGATTGCTACCTTAGCATCATATATCCTGAAAATGTTTTGAAAGTGACAAAACCAGTATCAGACCTTCATCTCTATCTCTTTCTCGAGTTACTAATCAGAAAGATCTTACTGTGAATTCTAGAGCTGTCAGTACCAATGTCTGCAAAAGAAGTCTTTCTGGAGTAAAGTGGCTGAAAATGATGGTAGGATGTTTAAGTGCAGTCAGTTGCCTAAGAGAAGTCTAGCCTTTAGCAGAATGTTTTATGATGTAATCAATTAATCTGCTCTCTATTCAATAACTTTCCATTTGAAAAGAGTAGATTTCTTCAGAGTGCAGTGAAGCAAGTATATAAATTGTACCTAATGACTACACTCCTGAAGCTTGATTACCCAGTGTAGGAAACATTAGTTCAGTTACTAGCTTTTCATGCAGACAAAAATACAACGAAAAATACAAGTGGTTGATAACATTATGGTGAACTTCAGAGCTATGTAGAGGTGACATACATGGCTGAATTAGAATGAATCAAGACAATTTTTTATTGGCAACAAGCTTCTAAGTAAACTTTAGTTTGGGCCTACTCTGAGTAAGATTCTTCTAACATAACTGTTTATTTTGTAGCAAAAAAACTATGCATCACATATAGAGCTGTGTTTTTTCCTCTCCTGTTTGGTCTTTTTCTATCAAGATCATGCTTTTGCCTTCATACCCTTAATGCTACTTCATGGGTTTCTTTACTCTGAGTAAGGCCTATTCTGAAAAGTCCTTGGGTTTCTGTACCAAGTAGGATATTATGCATCATTCCTGTGTGTCAGGAACTGGAGGAAAAGTTGTCTGGCTCAAAACAACCAGGTGGGAAAGTGGTGGGGGAACAGGTCGAGCTCTGCGTAGGTGTAGTGGTGGCTGCTCCCCCCCAGCCCCTTGAGCCTTAGGTAACTGCAGGTCTGCACTGGAATGGCCTCGGTGACCACATGGCTCTGATGTGAGCCCTGGGATGATGGTGGTCAACCATGTGTCCTTGCTGCAAGCCCCGAGATGATGTCAGAGCTCCTGGCTCTGCCAGGCACAAGTGTAAGCTCATGCTGGGGAAGGCCCTGGGCAAGAGGAACAGATAAAAGGACAGTGAGACGTGTGCCATGCCGTGTGCTCGACTGCCCTGGGGTGGAACCTGATGAGACCATGCTGGATCCACAGGTGGTGACTATCTATCTCTTTCTCATCTGTTTTTCTCTTTTTTTATCTACTTTGCTCCTTTTCTTTTCTATTAAGTTTTAAGCAGCACTGAGCAGTTTCCCCATAATTACTCACTAAGTGCCATGATCAGTGCCCGGCTAAGGATTTGTTCTTTCAAGGTATGCTGAGTTAAAGTTTGCATGGAACTTTTGAATGCTGTGAAGTTGGCTGATTTTCCTTTTGCCGAGTGTCTTATTCCACATGGATGACTCAAAGTTTATAGGTAAAAATTATTTCTTCTTGATCCTCCTGAGAACTGAGTTTTTTTTCCCATGCACTGCCCAGAGTAATTCAAAATTGCCTTCTCCTTAACCCACTGAGCAGACTGGGGCATTACACTGTGTTAATATAAAAGTTGTGTCTTTTTATTAGTTCTCTTTGGTTTATCTTCTCGTTTCACTTATTAAAGCTTTTGGATATGCTAGTTCACATCCTTCTCAGCTTCTTATGTTTTATTACGCATTACTGGCTGGAGTGCCTCATGCAAAACTAGTGAATCTTCTGAAATGAACAGAAAGATTTAATTCAGGCACTGCTAATTCAAGGAAATCTTACAAGTGAGTAGGTTTCATTTTTATGTAATCTACTTTGATTCCTTTTAAAGAAAGGAATTTACATAATACCTTCTTGAAGCAAAACTACAGAGCTCGAAATAATGTCTTTTAGCAGAAGCAAAATTATGGTATTAATGATTCACTGGTATTCTCGTGGTAAAGAGAGTTGTAATCTCTCCTTCACATTTGTGATTACAAATATCAGCTAAATTCTGAGAAAAGGAATGAAAACCTAAAGGATTTTTTTTGAAGGTTTTATAGGGTCAGGTAAATGTGGCTGTCAGAACTGTTTCTGATTTACATTGATCAAAGCTTCTTTTGGACTCCAGCCTTCTGATGACCAGCAGTACCAAAGGAGCTCTGAGGGGTTCTGCTGATTTTTAAGATGGAAGATCTGACAGGGAAAAATGTAATTTTCCTGTATTCTTATAGTTCTGTCCTTCCCTACCCTCATGTATCTGTCTCTGCTCTTACTTACAGCATTACTGATTTGTCAAAATGTTACTAGATGACCTAATTTTTCTATTTCATTCCATTTTTTTTAAGTCCTAAAAAGCCACCTTGTCTCCTTGCTCAGTTGTTCTTACACAGTATGTCCTTGAGTTGCCCCATCATTGTGTTCTCTTTTCTCAGAGTGTTTCAATTTGTTTTTTAAGCTAGTTTATTTTTCCCCGTCAGAGTGGAGCCTCATCAGTTTGTAAACCTTTTCACTAATTTATGTGTATTTTAAGGGAAGTCTCACATCTTCAAGTTTTTTGAACTTCGTTTGTCTTTTATTTGGTACCCCTTTTTCACTGTCTATTCTTCCCACCTTCCCTCAGCACTCAGCTGCTGAGTTGTAAAATTCCAGCCTTCTTCACTCTCTTTTAAAAAATTCTGATTTGATATAGACAGCTTCCACAGTGTCTGTGAGCAGAGATCTGAAGACTTTAAACAAGATGGATTGATGCATTAATTCTGATACACTGTATGTAGCAATCTGCCTAGAGTATGGTCAGTGCAGCCTCATTGAAACTAGGTAATAGGATACTAAGCAGTTTCTGCTGAGCATGTGTGACATCAGGCTTATGTGCTAAGAAAAATTAAATTGATTTTTACAGGAATAACTAGATAAAAGTGTTTAGCTTGAGGGCTGTCTTCTGGTATGTCTCATAGCCTGCTTTTAAATCATTTGTTCGGTGGAATGCTTTGATGCAAAAGAAAAGTAACACACAAGAGTTGTTTTTCTTCTATAATGATAGTTCAGTCAAAATATTTTGGAGTTCCAAATCCTGAAGGCAACTCAAAACGTTAATCTCATACCCATGAGATTACGTTAATCTAATACCTATGTACCTAGATGGGTTTACATGACAGTGCAGTCCTGTCTGTAGCAAAACATAAAACTGACATTAATTTAAATTCAATATGACACAGATTTGTAGGGAATTCTAAATGTAGTGACTGTTTCTCTCTCTTTGTAACTGCAGTTTTCTTTCATCTTTATACGTGAGTGACTGACAATATCCTGCTGCTATTTTTACTAAATAAATATTGTGCTGCATTTTCGAAAACTTCAGTTTTTTTAATGGAAGTTAAATGATTGCCATACTGGTAACTTGTATTTAGGCTGTCATCTTTACTCTGCTCCTTTGCCTTCACTAGCAACCTGTTTGATTTTATTTTATTTATCCTTTCTGTTTAAGGCCACACTGAAGTTGTTTGGGTTTTTTAATAGTTGAAATCTACTTTTCTGCATGAAAGACTAAACTGTGCTATAAGCTAAATTGTGCTATATGCAGCTATATATAACCTCCATCTTAACTCCATAGAGTCGCTGAGGGTGCAAAGGCAGAATATAGGTGCGAAGCACTTAAACTTTAAGCTTAAACATTCATCCTCCTTTTCCTCAATTACAGAATCTTTTGGCTGAGAAAGTGGAACAGCTGATGGAGTGGAGCTCAAGGCGTTCAGTCATCCGCATGAATGGAGACAAATTCCGAAGGTTTGTGAAGGCTCCACCTCGTAACTACTCGGTGATAGTGATGTTCACTGCTCTCCAGCCACAGCGGCAGTGCTCTGTTTGCAGGTAATTTATACCTTAGTGCTCTTTCTCATCTTCCTGTTCCTTTCCAACTGAAAATTTTAATCAATGTGCAATATACTGAGTAGTGGTTTTCTTTGCATGGTATAAGTGCTCACTCTGCAACAGTCTCATGTATTTGTTGCAACATCTTTCCAACTGTCATTCAATCTATATGTCAAATTTTAGTATTCTTTCAAGTTTTGGGTTTTATTAAATTGCAGGTGAATAAAATGTACACAACCGAGGAAGACTTTCTCTTTAAGAAATCTGCTTTTTTTTGTTGACCATGTTCTTTCCAAAGACATTTTGTGACAGAAGTGATTCATTACCATTTAATAATATGACACTTCCCTGATTTCTTCAGTTAAGAGATATCTGAGACTCTGATGCAGATGTGATTTACCCTGTGATTTCACAGGTTTGGACAGTTCTTACAGGCAAGCATTTTTCCATGAGGATCTGCTTATTGTGGTTAGAATATGTATTGGAGTGGCTCTGATGGTATTCCAAGTTCAAGATCTTTCTCTGCAAGTTCCTACTTCAATAAGTTCATCCAAAAATTACTAATGATAGACAGGGAAATACAGCCAAGGGACTGAAAAGTGGTCATGCACTTAATTACCCTCAGAAAACCTTCTTCAGCCAAAATATACATTAGAAATTATTGTGCTTAGTAATAGATGGGCTTATTGTGCAGGGAGCTCTAAACACTGTTTACCTAGCAAAATACTCTGTACAACTATGAAATACATAAGCTGTATGTGTATAAATACTATTTCTTGATTTTCAATAGGTGCATTTTATACAAAGTTGGTAAATGTAGCAGTTTGTTGGATTTCTTAGGTGTTGGAATGTAACATTTATAACAGACTTTTAACTTGTGTATCTGTAGTTTTATGTGGTTCTTGTTAGATATTTTTTATAGGTTAGTTCCCTGTTATTGAAGTCAGTTGGTCAGTTTTGAGGGAGTATATAAACTGCCTTTCCATGAGTTCAGCCCCCACGTATGAACTGTGAGGATGAAGGATTAGGCACAGAAGCTTTCCAACATAAGTCAAATGAATTTTTAGTTCAGAACTTTGGTTGATATTGTTTCTTCTTTGTGTTGCCAGGGTTCAACTTTAGGAGACAAAATAGGAGTTGAATGTTTACCATATTGTTTTAAATCATTCCTTATTTTCCTACTCAGGTTATAAGGCTACAGGAGATGCACCAAGTTCAGCTTTATAAGGGTCATTGTATTTGTCATTATAATTGCCATAACAAACTCTACCTGTGCTATGGACTTCTGTAGGGCATGGGAAAACAACATAAATATTGCTGTTATTAAGGAAGTTAATTTTGCTTGCAACCTTATATTGTTTACTGTGCTGAAAAAAAGCTTATAAACTTCATCTTGTAATAGGCCAGGCTAGACATTTATGTACAGAAGCAACTGAAAATCTTTAAGCATAAAATGAAGGAAAAATCAGCATTCTATTGGGTTTGTTCAAAGGCATGGGAAAACAACATAAATATTGCTGTTATTAAGGAAGTTAATTTTGCTTGCAACCTTATATTGTTTACTGTGCTGAAAAAAAGCTTATAAACTTCATCTTGTAATAGGCCAGGCTAGACATTTATGTACAGAAGCAACTGAAAATCTTTAAGCATAAAATGAAGGAAAAATCAGCATTCTATTGGGTTTGTTCAAATAAACGTAAAGTTGTGATCCACTTTTTCATGTGAAATAAAAGGAATTTAATGAAGTTGATCATACTGCACGTAAAACCATTATCAGGAAAATTGATATTTTCAAATCAGTGGCTAATTAATGGGCAGGAGCACTGAAAGTATATCCAGAACTGAAATGCATGCACTACTTGATTGTTAGGTACTCGCTAGCCACTTTGCTTAAAGGAAAATTAGATTTTTTTAACTTAATCTGTAATGTTCTGTGAGGATGCTTTTGTCCAAGATTGAAATACTACTTGTCAAAATTTTTTCAGAACAATTGCATAAAAAAAAATCTATATCATATTTCAAATTTGAAAAAGCACCTAGGCTGAAATCTTTAACTTTGAATAACCTTTTCACAAGATTTAGAACTCCCCCCACCCTGAAAAATTGAACCTGCTTAGTTTATGTACCACAGGACTATCTGAGCAAGCACGAAAAACATAGCATTATACAAAAAAAAAAAGATAAGAAGGGGAGCAATAAATAACAAGAGGATGAAATGTGGTCCTTTTCCAGAGAAGAGCAGTGTGTCATGGTTTAACCCCAACCAGCGATCAAACACCACACAGCTGTTTGCTCACTCCCTACCATCAGGATGGGGGAGAGAAGCAGAAGGGTAAAAGCTGGAAAACTAATGGGTTGAGATAAAGGCAGTTTAATAGGGAAAGCAAAAGCTGCACACACAAGCAAGGCAAAACAAAGAATTAATTCACTGCTTCCCATGGGCAGGAGGTGTTCAGCCATCTCCAGGAGAGCAGGGCCCATCACATGGAACTGTTACTTGGGAAGACAAATGCCGCCACTCCAAATGTTCTCTCCTTCCTCTCTCCTCCTTCCTCCTTCTTTATATACTGAGTATGATGTCATATGGTATGGAATATCCCTTTGGTCAGTTTGGGTCACTGGTCCGCTAAGTGGATTGAGGAGAAGGCAATTTTTAATTACTCTGGCAGTGTGCAGGAGAAAAAATGCAGTTCTCAGGAGGTTCAAGAAGTATTTTTCCTTATGAATTTTGGGTCACCCATGTGGAATAAGACATTTGGCTAAAGGAAAATTGGTAAACTTCACAGCATTCAAAAGTTCTGTGTAAACTTTAACTCAGCATACCTTGAGAGAACAAAGCCTTAGCCTGGCACTGATCATGGCACTTAGTGAGTAATTAAGGGGACACTGCTTAATGCAGCTTGTAACTTAATGTATTGCAGAGGAGAAAAGTAGAGAGAAAGAGAGGTAGATAGTCACCACCCGTGGATCCAGCATGGTCTCATCAGCTCCCAGCCCAGGGCAGTTGGGCACACCGCGTGGCACACATTTCACTGTCCTTTTATCCATTCCCCTTGCCCGGGGCCCACCCCAGCGTGAGCTCACACTTGTACCTGTGCATTAGGCAGAGCCAGGAGCTTTGGCATCCATCTTGGGGCTTGCAGCAAGGCCACGTGGTTGATTCCACCATTTCAGGGCTCACTTCAGAGCCACGTGGTCGACTGATGCCATTCCAGTGCAGACCAGCAGTTACCTGCTCATGCTCAAGGGGCTGGGAGGGGAGCAGCACACTACCCCACCTATGTAGAGCTTGACCTGTTCCCCCACCATTTTCCCACCTGGTTGTTTTGAGCCAGATAGCCTTTCCTCTGGTCCCTGACACCTGCCTCAGGTGTATCTTCTCCCACGCCCCCATGCAGCCCAAACTTCCTTGCCAATGCGGCAGTACAGGAAGCAGAAGTGGTCTTGGCTCTGTGTAAGCTCTGCTGACCAGTAACGAAAACGCCTCTATATTATCAACCCTGTGTTGTACACAAATCCAAAACCTAGTCCCATACTAGCCACTGTGAAGAACATTAACACTACCCCAGCCCAAACCAGCACACAGTGAAAGCTGGTGGTCATTAGAGCAAGTCATTGTAGATGTGCACATTTGAAGCCAGAAGAGATGATATGTGTCCCATCTTGCTAAAATAAACTATATCCTTTGTGTATCTGATTTTGCATTTGTTGTATTTAGAGTGTTAAGATGTGACCCTGCTTATAGTAAAACCAGTATGACTGTTCTGGCTGGTGTTTTGAATGATTATGCCACCAAGGATGAAAAGGTAACTTCTTGTAATCAAAAAGTTAGTGTCACTTTTGGAATTCCTTCATAGTGAATGCAAGGTCAATTTGGTGATGCACGTTCTCTACCGGACAGAGGATTATCATGCCTGTCCACTGTTGAGAAGCAGTGTAGCTTGTAGTCTAGAAGGTGTGATTCCCTTCTTCCACAGCCCTCTACCCTTTTTAATCCTGGGGAGGTTCCAAATTTCAGATAGAATTTGTTTGAGTCTACCTATCCATATAGCAAGGACCTACATGTGGAAAGCTGACCAAATTTGTCTGGCAGAATCTAGGGATTTTCTTTGCACAGCAAGAAGGATATTATAACATCAATCATATGAATCACATGATTGGTGAAAGTATATGGAAATAATATCAACTTACTTTTAAAATGCCATATACAAAGAAGTCTTTGGGACTCTAGATATTTGGATAAAGCTTTGTATGTAAAAAAATGCTTTCAGTCAATCCAGTCATATGAAGGCTTCTGAAAACCAGTAGCTCTGTATATGTGTTAGTAGAGTCTCTAGTCATGCCTCTAGAGTTTTTTTTCAAGGAAATTCTGTTTTTATCCTAAAGCAGAATTTGGAGTAAAACTTTTCCATCTAGCTTTATGGACAAAGTTTCGATTTTTTGTTCCAAGAGAGTATTGAAAGCCATCTGATGCATTCACAACTGTGTTAATGGTAGCATAAATGTCAGTTTTCCTGTTTCCTGTTGAGTTCAGTGTGACATAGCTTCTATTGTGAGATGGATTGGCAATAACAGTTTAGATATCCAATATGCTCTCAAGTGGGGGTGGAATGTGTTTCTAACAGTTTAAGACGAGGTGTTTTTTGTCCATGCATGTTTGTAAATGTGTTTGATTAAACCATTTTGGTTTCAGTTAAACTTGGCTAGTCTTAATTGACTTTACCAAGAACAGCAATTACATTGGAAGCAGATACTAAAGGGCCCTTCAATGCACGGTGATGATGAATCAGTTTGGATTTTTTTAGAAATAATCTAACCCTTAACAGTGACTCCTCAGGATAAAAGACCAGCTTCCTTTTTCCCTTTGTGCTTCACTCAGCTAGGTAGTCTGTTACCCACATCAGTCGCACAACGGAAAAAACCCAACTTATATATGTAAGAAGGAGAAAAAAAGAACGTTCACTCTTGACAACAGTATCTTCACAAAGATGAAGATTGTT